ACAGACACTCGCTCACTCACACACACAGACACTCGCTCACTCACACACACAGACACTCGCTCACTCACACACACAGACACTCGCTCACTCACACACACAGACACTCGCTCACTCACACACACAGACACTCGCTCACTCACACACACAGACACTCGCTCACTCACACACACAGACACTCGCTCACTCACACACACAGACACTCGCTCACTCACACACACAGACACTCGCTCACTCACACACACAGACACTCGCTCACTCACACACACAGACACTCGCTCACTCACACACACAGACACTCGCTCACTCACACACACAGACACTCGCTCACTCACACACACAGACACTCGCTCACTCACACACACAGACACTCGCTCACTCACACACACAGACACTCGCTCACTCACACACACAGACACTCGCTCACTCACACACACAGACACTCGCTCACTCACACACACAGACACTCGCTCACTCACACACACAGACACTCGCTCACTCACACACACAGACACTCGCTCACTCACACACACAGACACTCGCTCACTCACACACACAGACACTCGCTCACTCACACACACAGACACTCGCTCACTCACACACACAGACACTCGCTCACTCACACACACAGACACTCGCTCACTCACTCACACACACACACGCACACACACACTCTCTCACGCACATTTGATTTTCAGAAAGATTGCTTTTTAAGAAAGATACTTTAAAGGTAAGATATAAGGACAGAGAGGGACAGTGGTATGATAAAAAAAGTAAAAAATTAGTTGGACTGATGATTCCTGGATCCCTTCACTTTTAGTCAGTGTGGCTTTATTTGTAGTTTTTAATTGAAGTAAAATAAACTGACTTAAAAACGTTTAATAGTTACCTTTTTAAAAGAAAGGGGGGAAATGTGTTGTCATGCCTTTTTTAACTGTTTAGAAAAACCAATGCAGTTTATCTGATGACATTACTGTTTTAAACATGACCTGTTGTAGGATCACTGATGAGGTTTGTGTTGATCTTAGTTCAAGTTTAATATGGACAAGTACAAATATATATATAAATATATTGTCGTGTAAATAAAAAGGTTAGCAATCAGTTTGTTTCCCTTTTTTATTTATTCTGAAAGTGGAGGGGTTTAGCGATGCCAGAGGCCTCCATCATACATCTTTAGAACCGGCCCTGAATGTGAATAATAAAATGTGAAGCATCTGCATTAAAGCATAGTTGGATTATTTGGAACTATTATAAAAACTAATACATTATTTGGATTGAGTTCGATGTAAACCCTCCTTTATTGCAAGGCTGTTAAGTGATGATGAAGCGGTTTCATTTGTGAACGACTCTATTCCAGATGCATATAAGACATTTTCAAAGCAAAAGAATATTAAAACACTAATGCTAATGTGTAACTTCATAAACACAAATGCCTGTCTTGGTGGAATGGATTCATTAATATGCTTATTGAAAACTGTCGGACCAGTTCAAACTCTTTGCAGGATTCAGTGAAGCCAGGATAAAAACTGACAAATAATCCCAAACTAAAAGCAGTGAAAAACAAAACTACCTTCGCTCCCTGAAACTGATCTCCAGGGGTATTTTTACCTTTATAAGGGCAACATTTCCAATCTTCTTAAATGTATGCATTCCCTTTCATGCACAAATGTATTTAATTAATGCAACTAGAATAAGACACTAATAGGGCTGTTCTCAGTCATATTAAATCAGTATCAACAAAACCCACCTTTGCACTGCAGACGCTGCATTTAGATGTATTTACACAGATCGTTTAATGCAGCTCAGAGATGCCATGAAAGCATTTATACTGCAATTACGTGTCAGCTGCTTACACGATGCTATGAGCTTGAAGTTTTAAATATGATATATTTTTAATATAAAAATATGAAGTGTTGGGGGGAAAATGTACTTTAAAATATACAAGTCATTGATTGATTCACTCAACCAATTCTTTCTAAATGGCTGATTCATTCAGGAGCGGAGCAAGTGTCTGTCTTAAAGGGGTCATATGATGTTTATTATTTGTTATAGAACATTACTTTGTGTATTTGGTGTAATGAAATGTGTTTATGGGATTTAAAAAAAACACTATTTTCCACATACTGTACATTATTGTTTCTCCTCTATGCTCCGCCTTTCTGAAACGCGTCGATTTTTACAAAACTCGTCGGTCTGAAAAGTGAGGTGTGCTGTGATTGGCCAGCTATCCAGTGCGTTGTGATTGGCCGAATACCTCAAGCGTGTGATGGAAATGTTACGCCCCTCACCATACTGTGATGCCCTGTCCAGCCGGAGCGACGAGACAAAAACATTAAAACCCATTATAAACCAGGCATTTGTTGCATCCAGTGGGGACATAATTACAGATTATAATGACTTAAACTGTCTTTTTATGCATTGTGTTGCATCGCGCCGCGTAAACATAAAGCCATGTCTGCATTTGTGATCGGAGAAATGACAAACAACAAGCTCTACTCTACACTGCTCAAAACTCGCGTTTGAATCATCAGTAGAACAGCCGGCATTGTAGTCTACTCTACCAGGATCAGGACAGGCCTCCATAAAATGTGCTGCACACATCTGAATATTTGGGTTGAAGAGTTCTGGAACAGTGTTGTAAATACAACTTAACCACTGATTTCTAGTCATGTCCTCTTTTGGAAGACCAAACAAAGTAGTTTCGCTTTCACAACGAAACACAGCATCTCCACGACATGGCGGCAGCAACAATACTACAGCGAGAATAAAAATTACGCCTTCTTTCTTTGCGTGAACATTTGGGCGGCGTTATGCAAATCTTCCCACATAGTGATGTAGACATGTGGGGGCGTGTTAGAACGAGCCGTTTTAGGTAGGAGTGGTTAACTCTTAACTTTTATAAAGAATACCTCTTTGGATTTGAGACTTTAGTCTTTGTAACTTTACAGATCTTCTTTATGCACCAAGAGCTTATAACACTCCAAAGAGAAAGGAAAAATTTAAATTGCATCATATGACCCCTTTAATGAATGGGTCATTGAATCATTTACTCACCCAACTCGTTCAAAAAAGTCAAGAGGTCTTACTGTGCTGATTTGTGACACAACAGTTCTGCTGTGACTCTGCTTGGAATGATTTTCATTGACGCAACAGAGCAAAACCTGACATCATTGCATCTGAAATGTACCTCACAATATTAACTTATTAACTTGCATTTATTTATGTTTGACCATGCTTTGCTCTGGATACAAGAGGAAAAGGAAACTGTCGATATAGAAAGATTTTTGCCTTCAAACGATAAGAGGTTAAATGAAAACAACTTTAATTGAATCAACTGCCTTTCGTTCTGAATATTAGTTCAGAATAGCAGTGTAAGCGTCCAGCCTTACATACACTGCAAGATATATATAATTCAGTACCACAAAATGTATCAAAATACCCTAGTATTACTAACTGAAATCAATGTTGTATCATAGATAGCACTGCCAGGGTAGGCTATATTTTGACAGGTAATTGTGAGAAATATCACCTACAGCTGTCATGAGAACAAGCCTTTCAAAAGCCAAAGGTCACAAAATGTGCGAAACAATGCAGTGAGATAAAGGAGGTTCTGAAATAATCTGTTGCTAGATCAGTTATAGGGTAGATGTTATTGTAACAGTATGTTCAGATTAGAGATAGATAGGTGAAATCATCTGTAGCCCATAGTAAAGCTACACAATAGCATGCCCGTCCCCTACATAATGACTTCAATAGATGTCTGTGTTGTAAAGCATGTGAAACGCGCTAGACACTGCCAAAGGTTTGATTCCCAGGGAAAGCGAGAACTGCTGAAATGTAAATGTGCATCTTGAATGCAATGCAAGATGCTTTTTTGGAGAAAAGTGTCTGCCAAATGCATAATGATATATATATATATATATGTGTGAAAAATAAGGCTTTATTTAAAACTAGCAGTTGTTGGCTGCATATCTTTTACCGCTCTGCAGCCTGAGTGCATGCTTGAGCAGGAAACAAACTAAAAAGAAAGTGTTTTCGCAATCCACTCTCTATTATCTGGGTAAGCATGCTTGCATTATCAGCAATTATCAAAAGCAATGCTTTAAAACCGTCATCCTGGTATCGCGGACTCGCTCTTGTTTCATACAAACGCAGCTGCTGCCATTTTGCTACGATGGTTTTGTACGCTGTAATGGATTATTAGAGAACTAACAAACTGGTAAGGTTTTAAAACTTAATTCTTTTATTGCCTTAATTATTTTTGTGGTGAAATGTTGTGTAATAAGTGGTGTGACTGCACCGTTTCCCTTAAATGTCCGTCTAGCTTGAATTTGCCACTTGCTCTCAACTGCTGTCTACACGGAAGCTTTGCGGGAGGCAGTAATTAAAGCAAAAGGAGCCCCTACCAAGTATTGAGTACATGTACAGTAAATGAACATACTTTCCAGAAGGCCAACAATTCACTAAAAATGTTTTTTTTTATTGGTGTTATGAAGTATTCTAATTTGTTGAGATAGTGAATTGGTGGGTTTTTGTTAAATGTGAGCCAAAATCATCACAATTAAAAGAACCAAAGACTTAAACTACTTCAGTCTGTGTGCACTGAATTTATTTAATACACGAGTTTCACAATTTGAGTTGAATTACTGAAATAAATGAACTTTTCCACGACATTCTAATTTATTGAGATGCACCTGTACATCCAGCCAGTTGTTATAGCAGAATAACCCCTTTCAGGCTGATACAAGACACCTCCGCGTACATTATCCCTTACATATATAATCAAACTACAAGTCCTCTATGAGGTAAAAAACCCCAAAAACTCCTATCACTGCATAAAGGGAGCTGAAGGAAGGTAACTTGAAGAAAACATAAGCTGAGTGACACTAACTTTGATACCAATCCCAAACATACTGTACCTCAATCCATAACTTCAAATGAAATGTCATGTTTGGACCCAGTCTGATTTCTGACTCTGTACTGACTCGTATCATGCCCACACCTTTCCACACTCCACCTTTATTAAATCATCCCAAAACAGCAAACAAACCGTATTTTGTGCACTGATTTAGAAGCATGTAAATGTTTGTTCACTGCAGAGCTTGCGTTAGCCAAAGAAAAGAAACAAAACATGCAATTTGGCAAGAGATGCAATAAATGCGCACTCCTCCATCATATGTCATTTCAGCTCAGATGAAAACAGTTCATTATGGTTACAAATGTGCGATAGAAGAAGGATGACCATTTCACCACAGCGGAAAAATAAGGCATGACAATATTTCAAAGTGCTTTCAGTGACTCTGTCTATATAAGCTTTACAAAGCATACACACTTTTATGCCAATTCATCATGTATAAAAACCAAAAATAGACAAAATATCAATGGAAGCTGCACACACATTTGGAATGAGTTTAGCACGTCTGGCTACGACAAGAGTTTGACAGACAGTCTCATACTAGCAGGAACTAAAAACAGCATTGTCATCAGCTCCAGTCATACTTCCTTGTGACGTGACTGGAACTTAGTCATACTCTGGTATTTAAAAAGATATTTCCGCTTTGGTATTTGGCTGTCAAACCAAGACCAAAACAAACACAAAACAACTCAAGAAGAAAGAGTGGCTGCATGTAGTGGACACATGCTCAGTCTTTCAGCTTACTCTCCAAGAAATCCTGGATTTTGTTGACCTTCTCTTCTTGTTGATCCAGGAGATCCAGTATGACTCCCATGGGCGTCTTCTTCAGGCCAACGCCCTCGATCTTGTTCTCCAACTTGTTCTTCATGCTGCGAAGTCTCAGAGAAGCGTGGATGAGGATCACTGCAGGGCGAAACACAAGACTTCAGTGAGACTGTGCGCTCAAAAAGACGACAGAGAAGGCCATCTATTTCGGTATTTAAAGCCCAGTTGCTCTATTAGCGTCTCCAGTGAACATGCATCTTTCCCATTAAGCCCAGCGGATGCAATGCAATCTTTCCTTATTGCAGTATATTACTTTTTTTCAAATTTCCTTTTATACATGTAAATACACACGTAGTGATAAACTGGAAACGGCTTACTTTGACATGCACAATAAATGAATAAATAAATACAATTTAAAAATGTAATTCATAGACATCAAACAATTTAAGTATAATTTCAAATGTTTATTTATTCTGTCTTTAGATTGTACAGAATGTAAAGTTATTTTAAGACCCCGTTACAATAGTAGTAATAGGGCAGCCTGCGGTAAAAGGCTCATGCCGTGGTTTCCAAGAACCTGATCTGCTAAAACTGAACATAGCGCAACTAGATGATGATGTTTTGTGTTGCTATAACTACAAGCAAAACACGCTTCTAGATCTCGGCCTGTTTTCCGCAGCAGCTTGAAATACCCATGCAGCCTGACTCTTATAGTTATAATCATCAGAGAACTGAGGAGAGATCTGTCCATTATGTATCTGTGACTGATATATTGTACTAGCTCAAATCCTCCAACATTAAAACCTTAGTTTACACAAAGATGACATGTCTCTGATCATTTACTCACCTTAAAGGGATAGTTCACCCAAGAATGAAAATGTGATGTTTATCTGCTTACCCCCAGGGCATCCAAGATGTAGGTGACTTTGTTTCTTCAGTAGAACACATATGATGATTTTTAACTTTAACCGTTGCAGTCTATCAGTCGTATAATGCATGGCAATGGTAACAAAATCTATGAGAGTAAAAAAAACATGCACAGACAAATCCAAATTAAACCCTGCGGCTCGTGACGACACATTGATGTCCTAAGACACGAAACGATCGGTTTGTGCCAGAAGGGTAAGCAGATAAACATCACATTTTCATTCTTGGGTGAACTATCCCTTTAAGGTCCTTCCAAACTTTCTGTGGAACACAAAGGATGTCTTGAAAAAGAGTCGAAGCATATTTTTATGTCCATACAATCGACAGCCCAATGTATCCCAAAATATATTTATGTTCCACAGAAGAAATAAAGTCATGCAGGTTAAGAAATTATATGTGTATTATTTATATACTATTACAGGTTTTAATCAATATTTTGAATTAGCTTTTATTTTTAAATTTTCACTTTAAATTTAAATTTTAGTTTAATTTGGGTCATTCTGTAATGTACTCGTGTCATTTTTATTAGTTTTGTTCTTTTTAAACATTACTAATTAAGTTTAATTTCAGTTTTTTTCAGTTCAGTTCATTCAACTGTCTGTTGATCTATACCTGTACATACAATTGTCGATTTGTATATTTTTTTATTCCTTATTTCCTTGTTCTATTTTTTATTATCTGTGATTTTGTTCTGTCACTGTCATTCTGTTACACTGTGGAAGCTTCTGTCACGAAAACTAATTCCTCGTATGTGTATAGACATACCTGGCAATAAAGCTCATTCTGATTCTGATTCAGCGTTTTTTATTCCAGGTTTAGTTTTTATTCATTTCCAGTTAGTAATATTAGTGCTTATTTCAGGAAGTCAAAGCTAAATTTTCATCTAATGTTCACTTTTTTTTTTTTTAATTAGTAAAAATATTTTAATAATTTAATAGTTTTTCAGTGAAAAGCTGAAACCAGGAAGTGTTCTCTTTTGGTCACGGGATAATTGACAGGAAGGATTTTTACACTTAAAGCAATAAAAGGCATGTGTCAAACATGACATACATTGTCTATGTATGATAATACAGCTATTCTGTACAGTATCTCATTTTACTCTCACTTTCTCTGAGTAACCTCAAACACTTTTACTTCAATTTGCATCCTGCACTCTTACAAATAAAGCTTCCCTATAGGTATTAATGGTTTAATCAGAAAACCATTGCATAAAAGGCTCCTTATAGTGAAAGGATCAAATTTGTAAGAAAAGTGGTTCTTTTAAAGAACTGTTCACTGAAAGGTTTTTGTCATTAATGGCATGGTTTTTGAAGCCTTTATTTCTCAGAGTGTGGGTGACAAATATGCCTGTGAACGAAGTATTTGCTGCATCCACAGCAGTTAATGTCAGTGAAAGTCATAGAAAACATGTTAAAAATGACACGGAGCAGCCGTAATAAGGCAGGTGCGAGTCCAGAAGATCTGACACAGGTACTCACAGAGCATGGGGAGTGTGATACCGAAGAGAAACACCATCACTCCTCCACACAAGGACAGCAGGAGGTAGCTGATTCCCAGGACACACACGACAAACAGGGTGGGATTTCTCTTCTTGAAGCTCTTGATCACAGCTTTATTCTCTCCTGCCCACACCGAGCCCATGAAGACCAGAGCCACGACCGCCCCACCAACAAACATGCCCAGCGGGTTCAGAAAACTGAAGAAACCACACCAGACACATTTAATGCACATCAATTAATCACTATTGCTGTTATTATACAGTATTCAGTTGGGACACTCTGTTAAAGGGTCATTCACATCAAGGAAGACAACTATACTAAAGTTATCGGTAAAGCTATCTTAAGTTATCGGTATAGCTATCTTAAGTTATCGGTAAAGCTATCTTAAGTTATCGGCATAGCTATCTTAAGTTATCGGTAAAGCTATCTTAAGTTGTCGGTATAGCTATCTTAAGTTGTCGGTAAAGCTATCTTAAGTTATCGGTATAGCTATCTTAAGTTATCGGTATAGCTATCTTAAGTTGTCGGTATAGCTATCTTAAGTTATCGGTAAAGCTATCTTAAGTTATCGGCATAGCTATCTTAAGTTATCGGTAAAGCTATCTTAAGTTATCGGTATAGCTATCTTAAGTTATCGGTATAGCTATCTTAAGTTATCTTAAGTTATCGGTAAAGCTATCTTAAGTTATCGGTAAAGCTATCTTAAGTTATCGGTAAAGCTATCTTAAGTTGTTGGTATAGTTATCTTACACTTATCTGCATATCTATTTTAAGCTATTATCTAATCGGTTATCGGCGTAGTCTCACTTCAGTATGTGCTTATAATAATTATAATGTTATTGTTCATGGTGTGGCTGCTAATATAATTGTCATTTTTGGTGTGAACTGGCCTTTGTTTTAACATAAAGAAATAAATATGGCTTTTAAATAAAGAATTGTAAAACTTTGTACAGAAATAATAATAAAAAAATAAATAAAGAAAGCCTTAAAGTCAGCAGCTATCTTAAGTTATCGGTATAGCTATCTTAAGTTATCTTAAGTTATCGGTAAAGCTATCTTAAGTTGTTGGTATAGTTATCTTACACTTATCTGCATATCTATTTTAAGCTATTAGAATAGTTATCGGTATATTTATCTAATCGGTTATCGGTGTAGTCTCACTTCAGTATGTGCTTATAATAATTATAATGTTATTGTTCATGGTGTGGCTGCTAATATAATTGTCATTTTTGGTGTGAACTGGCCTTTGTTTTAACATAAAGAAATAAATATGGCTTTTAAATAAAGAATTGTAAAACTTTGTACAGAAATAATAATAAAAAAATAAATAAAGAAAGCCTTAAAGTCAGCATGAAATCAAAATTGACTTTATTTACTTTTCTAACCAACCGGGTTGTGGCTAGAAGGGATACAGCTAAAACCGGAAGCGAGGAGGAGCGCAACAATAAAGCCACGCCCTCTATTCAACATTCAGTTTAAGCTGGAAATATGTCACTACACTGAAATAAAGTCGCAGCACACACACACACACACACGGCGTTTCTGCTCTCGCACGGTGTTTAACGCTCTGGATTGAACTAATCACACAGCACTCTGCACCACGCTTTGATAACAGACTGAATGATGGTCACACTAGTAAATGCACATGATTCAGACCTGTACATACCCGACCATCAGGATTGCGACGGTAGCGGCTGCGAAGTAGTCGGTCTGATAATAAAGCAGATTGCTGATCACTCTGTTATTCCATCTGCTTAAATCAGACACATCGGGTTTGGCGAAGCGGTCAACACCAGGGAAAAAGTCCTCCCACGGCCTGAAGGGTGCCAGCTCCAGCCCTGCCATGATGCGCTGCGTCTGCGCTGAGTGCGCTCTGCCCAGGGTTGCCAGGTGTTCACAACAAAACCCGCCAAACTGCTACTCAAAACCCGCCCAATGGCGTTTCGAGGGGGTTCCCCCGACATGCATGAACATTTGGGCGGCGTTATGCAAATCTTCCCACACCGTGACGTAGACATGTGGGGGCGTGTTAGAACGAGCCGTTTTAGGTAGGTGTGGTTAACTCTTATCTTTTATAAAGAATATCTCTTTGGATTTGAGACTTTAGTCTTTGCAACTTTACAGATCTTCTTTATGCACCAAGAGCTTGTAACACTCCAAAGAGAAAGGAACAATTGAAATCGCATCATATGACCCCTTTAACATACAAATATATGATATCAGTCAAGTGCACGAATGTACCGTGTTCAGGGATCATTCAATAATATTCCTAAAAATAAATAAATAAATAAACGGCATATACTATACACACAGGCACATAACTACATAGTTTGATTATTTGTTTGTCTACAACTTGACATTCATAAACTGTTCCTCTGACATCTTTTGATGACTCATGAGTAAGAAAAACAAATTCAAACAAACTTGTTTTTCTGAAATGTCTCATGTTTTAGACATTTGCACTTTATCGATGAACACAGCTTAAGATCCACACGGTTGTTTCGTTCAGTGAACACTGCAGTCTGCCCATCGGAGAAAAAAAAGGCAAAATTACTATTACTTTCCAGTATTATAAATGTAATGCTTTTAGCTGATGTGAACGTGTTATTTAGACATCAGAACGCAGTCTCTCACAGAACTGTGATCTAGAGGAGTACAAACATCACGTGAACAAAACGCATGCTCACACCAGCGTTACGCAAAAGATTTAATCAAAGGACAAACATACAAAAAAGCATCACACAGACTTGCATAAATACATATGTTAATAACCTTTTATATAAAAACCAATATATCTCAACATACAGGCAAGCATTAGAAAAGTAACAGTGCTTGCACTACATAAAGCATGGTGAAAAATTATTTAGCTTGATCTTCCAGAAGGCTTTGGTGCATCTTTTCATTTGACACATCAGAATAATTATGATGATGGCTGATCACTGCAAACAATATTGTAAAAACATGTATTTTGTGAATTAGATTTTTTTCACCCATTTACATTTATATACACAAAATCAAAACAACTAAGCCACATCAAAACACCATTAGTCTCTCACATGACAGAAGTTTATTCTCATCGTCTCTTACGTACTTTGTGTTTTTATCCACCAGAATCCCACTGCTCAAAAATACACAAAGTGAAGACTCGCACAGATTATTACAGACCAAATTAAAAACTCAAACGAAACAAAAAACAGTGACAAAGCGGCAGTGACGTCTGAATCTTTTCACAATATTTATAGTCACCAACAGTATTTTTCATTTGCAGTCCCACTGAAATGGTAGAAAGCTTCTCCCACACAGTATAAAAATAATAAACCCATAAGCAGTCAAATATTTATATGCTCTAAATAATGTTCATCTCTCAACAGTTCAACGCTATAAAAATAGTTAAAAAATTATTCAGTAGTGAATTACTCTATATCATTATTTTCCTTTAAACGTCATATAAACTAAATGGAAAACAAAACAAAAAACCTCTTGACGAAGAAAAAAGCATTCTGCTTTGAAATGGGGCTTAATCAGAGGTTTGGAACAAAAACAAAACCAACATTTTTGTGGGAGATTTTAGTATTTATCCTCCGTTCAGTCCTCCAGACATCTGTTAGAGAAGAACCAGCACCGACTTGAGTTTCAAGAATTTATACAGAGTGTTATTTCAACACCACATTAACCGTCACTATCCGCAGGTACAGATCCTAGAAACTGAGAATGACCTCTGTGTGTGTTACGAAGGTCACGGCGAAGGTTTCTGTTGAGTCCTTTTCTCTGGGCTCTTTCACTAATGCACCGAACTAAAGCAAACCATTGACTGATTCGGACCCGGTTCTGCAGCCAGATTCAGGCACTTGACCTACAAACCAAGTATGATTTCTAACTTGTACACACAATACAAAGTAACTGGGAGAGAGCAGCAAGTCCCTTTCATATAATCTGGCAACTGGTACACAGCACGAGTGTGTGTCTATGAATCTGTATGATCCCACAGTGTGTGTGTGTGTGTGTGTGTGAGTGAGTGTCTGTTTGTGTGTGTGTGCGTGTGTGTGTCTGTGTGTATGTATGTGTGCACGCATGTGTGTCTGTGTGCGTGTGTCTCTGTGTATGTGTGTGCGTGCCTGTATGTCTGTGCGTGTGTCTGTTTGTGTGCGCGTGTCTGTGTGCGTCTGCGTGTATGTCTGTGCGTGTGTGTGTCTGTGCGTGTGTGTGTCTGTGTCTCTGTGTGTGTGTGTCTTGTGTGTGCGCGCACGTGTTAAGACAGGGTTCACAAAATAAATGAAACAAACTGGCAGTCTGTGATTCGCTTTTACACTTGGTTATACAAAAAAAGTAGTAAAAAACGTTTAACAAACGGCCACTTTTGATTGCATGCCTACGGTTTTATTTCTGCTCAGTGAGGCAATTCTTCCACAGATCGCAACATGCACACGTTCACGGCATTTCAACGAGGAAAAGAATATCGAATTCTCTCATCACACTAATAAACGCAGCACTGACAGCAGCAACTCCAAATGCTGTCAGCTTAAGGACACTTAAAGAATCGTATGGTTTCATATAAACTACGTGCTGACAGAAATACAGGTGATAGATAACAGAGCAGATCACTCAAGCGCAAGGAAAAAGGCCACAAAGTGCTGAGAGTGATGTTCCAACACTTTTCACAGCTTCAGGGCTTCATAAACGTCTGTATAACGCAGCACATTTAACTTAAAGGGTTAGTTCATCCAAAAATAAAAATCAGGCTGTGTTTTACTCACCCCCGATGCATCCTAGGTGTATATGACTTTCTTCTTTCAGACGAATCCAGTCGGAGTTATATAAAAAATTTATCTTTCAAGCTCTATCGTTGCACTCAGCGGGTATTGCATGCATCAGTCCAAATGACCACAACTATAGGGTATATTATACTACAATACACTGCAGTTTACTGTAGTAAAAACTAAAGTATACTACAGTTTATCAGTTCACTACAGTATGCTGTAGAATTCATTAAAGTGTTGTAAATACTGTAATATATACAGTACTATAATACACTTTACTATAGAATGGTTCAAAAACACTATAGTATTTACTATAAAATACTATAGTATTTTTTCATGTGGGATGCTTCAAACATTCAGGTGTTTACCATTATCTTGTTGTGTGTTTTACCCAAGACAGGTGATGAAAGCATATTTCATAGTTCAGATGCTTATTTTCTCAAAGGAAGGTTCAGGAATATCTAAATTGCTCCCTTATTTAATCTGTCTTCTTATAATTAATGAAACTGTTAAAGGTGCATTCATTAGTAACCTCAAAGTTGTTCAAACCCAATGGCAGCCCTGTTGAAAAAACCAGCATATGCTGGTTAGGTATGTTTCGATGCTGGGTTGCTGGTTTAAGCTGGTCATGTGCTGGCAAAGGACCAGCATAAACCATCAAAGGACCAGCTTAAACCAGCAAAGGACCAGCTTAAACCAGCAACGGACCAGCTTAAACCAGCAAAGGACCAGCATAAACCAGCAAAGGACCAGCTTAAACCAGCAACGGACCAGCTTAAACCAGCAAAGGACCAGCATAAACCAGCAAAGGACCAGCTTAAACCAGCAACGGACCAGCTTAAACCAGCAAAGGACCAGCATAAACCAGCAAAGGACCAGCTTAAACCAGCAACGGACCAGCTTAAACCAGCAAAGGACCAGCATAAACCAGCAAAGGACCAGCTTAAACCAGCAACGGACCAGCTTAAACCAGCAAAGGACCAGCATAAACCAGCAAAGGACCAGCTTAAACCAGCAACGGACCAGCTTAAACCAGCAAAGGACCAGCATAAACCAGCAAAGGACCAGCTTAAACCAGCAACGGACCAGCTTAAACCAGCAAAGGACCAGCATAAACCAGCAAAGGACCAGCTTAAACCAGCAACCCAGCGTCAAAACATACCTAACCAGCATATGCTGGTTTTTGCAACGGAGAAAGGTGTTACTGCCACATATCAACGTGGATCAGCATGACCGTCTGAGCTTTATGTGAATGACACTGATACTAGTGAGTTTTAGACAGCGCTCTACACAATAATTCATTCCCATACCTTGTCTATCAAAAAAGAAGCATCTCTGGCATCACTACTCAGGATTTTGTGGGTCATGAAATCTCTCCACCTTATGTATGCCGTACTAATGTTTACGCTCTGTGTTTGTCTTTGTCGGTCTTTCTCTCTTCTGGCTTCAGTACTTTTCTGCTTCTTTGGCCTTATAGGTTCTGATTCTCCCATTGGTTAAGCACGATAAGTGTTTAGCGAAACACCGCAGGTCGAGTCACTGCAACAGCGAAATGCACTATTGATCTGCACTCCACATAATTAAAGCACTTATAGAATACTGTTAGGAGTAGTTCATCTAATGCGAGACTCTTCACAAAAACGTCTTATTTCCTAATGTGGACACATTTTTAAATCCGTACCAAACTACTGAAAGTACACCGCAAGCGTGTGACTTGTCATTTACTTTAAGAGCCTGTAAAGAACATTACTACTTAACTAGCCAGCTAGACTCTACCTATGAAACTAATAATTACCACAATTCATCTACCAGAGAAAAAAAATGTGTGCTACATATCCTACAGTTGTTAATACTGTACACAATACTGTAGCTGTCCCTCTTCACTCCTACATGGAGCGTCCGGTTGTGGTTTAATTTTTTAAAATCTTAACGTCTTCATTTTCATCAGTTCCATGCATCCAGGCAGCATCCGGCCACTGAACGTCATGGTCCCAATTTCAATACTGACATGACAATCAAGTTAATCTTACTGATACAAGTCACTATGAACTAAGAGCCTACCGTTGTTTTGAATGTGTTTGAATCACTAACCAGAAATGCTCCAGGAACAGAGGGGTCGCTTTCTAAAATGAGTTTTTCTTTAGTGCAACACTTGTGCATAGGCAATTTGAAGAGTACTGTCTAGAGTACTAAAGATAAATAGGGTTCTTTCAAAAAAAATATTCTAATCTACATGCCAAATGACTTTCAGGCAAGACTCACCCCGAGAGTCCTTCTTGTTGGGTCTGCTTTTTGGGCTGACAGCTTTCTTCTTGCTGGCCTGGATTTGAGATTGTTCTCTCCACTTCTTCAGCTGGAAATTGATGAATTTCCACATCATCCAGGCCTGGGTCAGGCAGATGGCTGACAGGCATGTCATCCTAAAAGAGAGACCATCATTCACAAATACTTCAATATAGCTTCAGAATATCTCAAATTTGAGTTCTACCCTCGCTATTCGATCCTTGGATGGGAGGGCTGTCTAAGTCACATCAGCTAACCATTGCATACCTCAGGGTTCGGTGTTTGGCCCTCTTCTATTCTTGATATACATAACTACACTGAGATCATTCAGCCTCATGGCTTTTCCAACCTGCTATGCTATTGACTTGAAGCAACTGCTGTTTAAGCCTGATGACCCCAGAATACAAATACAATTCTTGTGGACGTGTGAGACATGGTTTTATTGAAAACCACATCTAATTATAATCCTGCCCAGTAGGTCAACACTAGGGATGGGTATCGTTAAAGTTTTTTTCACGGCATTACTACTCTTACTGCTTATTGATCCGGTACTGTCAAGCTCAAAGTATGCATCGCTTTTTACATGTACGCTAGAGTATGCGTTAGGGCTGGGTAAATAATATCGATATCACGATATTAATCGATTCTCATGTTTACGAAACGATATCGATTCTTAAATCCCAAGAATCGATTATTCTAGCCTGTTTTCAGTTAATGGACAGAACATTGAAGGGCACTTCCCATCCAATATATCGCAATAAGCATTGTGCGTTGTGCATCTGGTGCTGTTAATATGAAACAAAGTCTCAGATTTCAATTTATGTCCATTGTATTGCAATATTTAAACAATAAATGTCACTTTGGCACTGTTTAATGTGGAGTGACAGATCGCTGTAGCGCCTCAGTTCAACAGACGCGGCACGTGAACTGATCATCTCCTCCACATTAATACCAGTTTCAGCACATAAACAATAAACATGACTAAACATCTGAAGGCAAGTTAAAAGAAAGAGTACAACTTTACAATCCGTATCCTGTCTCATGTAATCGCTCAATCAGTGTTTCAGTTGCGCAAAGACGTCAATATAACAGCTTGTAAACAATTCATGTAACATCACAGTTACCTCAGAAAAACATATTCGGTGACCATAAACTCGTTAGTCAGCCTGAAAAATAATCTGTAGAGAGGGGCATTTTGCTAAATATATGCACATAACATTCATTATATATTTTTTACTGTTTTGAATGTTTTATTTATGTTTGAATAAATCCGTCCAAGTTTTTATGACAGACACTATTTACATGTGTACATTTAAAAAAAACGAACTTAAGTAATTGTAACTTAATTATAAAAACTTAATTAAGTGCAATTTAAGCAGTTGTACAGCACAAATCAGTCAATTTTAACCTTCAATATTATAATGTAGTACCATCTGACTCTCATGTATATTTTACAGCAGGGCTGTCCAAACTCGGTCCCGGAGGGCCGGTGTCCTGCAGAGTTCAGCTCCAACTTGCCTCAACACACCTGACTGGAAGTTTCTATGCCTAGTAAGAGCTTGATTAGCTGGTTCAGGTGTGTTTAATTAGGGTTGGAGCTAAACTCTGCAGGACACCGGCCCTCCAGGACCGAGTTTGGACAGCCCTGTTTTACAGCATTAGTTGAGAGATTTTTTTCCTTGAGAAAATTTGGCATGTACTGTACCTGATATGTATCCAAAATAATTGATATTGACGTGAATTGGTAATCGAATCAAAAGCTTGTGAATGCAAATCGAACCGTGAAATTTGTCTCAAAACCCAGCCCTAGTATGCGTATGCACATGACGTGAATATCGTCATCAGAACTGTACATGCGTGTACTGTACATGCACCGTCCGTTTTTTTTAAACAGTGCGTACAATGCAAACGCAGCTCTCACATGCATTCCGGATTGTTTTTGCAGTACTCAGTTTAATGTCCACAAGGTGTTAACACGAGTTAACAAGTGTGTTTTCTTTGAGCTGGTGCAGTTCATATATGTGACCTTAGAGCACAAAAGCAGTCTTAAGTCGCTGGGGTATATTTGTAGTAATAACCAAAAATACATTGTATGGGTCAAAATTATCGATTTTTCTTTTATGCCAAAAAATCATTAGGATATTAAGTAAAGATCATGTTCCATGAAGATATTTTGTAAATTTCCTACTGTAAATATATCAAAACTTAATTTTTGATTAGTAATATGCATTGCTAAGAACTTCATTTTAACAACTTTAAAGATGATTTTCTCAATATTTAGATTTTTTTGCACCCTCAGATTCCAGATTTTCAAATAGTTGTATCTCGGCCAAATATTGTTCTATCCTAACAAACCATACATCAATGGAAAGCTTATTTATTCAGCTTCCAGCTGATATATACATCTCAATTTTAAAAAATTGACCCTGATGACTGGTTTTGTGGTCCAGGGTCACATATCTGACTGCTTGTATTTATTGACAAAATTGTATACATGTGAAGTAAAATTGAAAATTGAGGATGCAGTGTATTGTGATATCGAATTGAACCGAGTCGATGACATGGTAATCATAATCGAACGAACCGTGAGACCAGTGTAGGTTCATACCCCTACTACATAACATGGACTAGCGTCTTCTGCCGTTATGGTCTCATTACAATGTATTTGTCTGCTAAATCAAGTAAATATCACAGAGGAAGCAAACATGTGTGAAATCCGGCGGACTCACCTGACAGTCAGCACATTAAAGTTTCCCTCTGCTAAAGAGAATCCCTGATTATCTGTGTGGGACAGGCCGAAACCAAACGTCAGGACAGAAACGGTGAGCGTCAGGAGGCGGGTGATGACAAACAGCAGAGCCCACAGCGTGAACCTAAGATGCAAACACAGGCCGGGCCTCTTAACAACAGCCTGAACAGTTCAAAGACAAGCTCAGCAGGGGATGGGAAATGAAGCAGGCAGAAATCATATACAATTCTAAGATTATATGGCAAGACAAATGTGGAAAGAAGCACAATGTGAGGGCTCAAGATAGGGAGTGAACGAACCCCTTCTGCTTGTTTTCATCACTGAAGTAGAAGAGTCGCGAGGCGTGGAAGAGTAGCTCTACCAGATAATGCGGCACCAGAAGAACCAGACCCAGGCGGTGGAGACTGAGAGAGAGGACACACCTGAGTCAGATTCACTCAATAACTCAAACACACGTCCACAAACTGCTTCCTTATGAATTAACCACTATTGCTGCACTCATCTACCATGCACTGTTATAAAAACAACCGTACCTTCAGATTCTGTGCGGTGCTTAGTTCTACTGAGGCAATAGTTGCTCCCTTAAAATTGATTTCCAGCAGATTTTTACCATTATAATGGCATTTTTTAAAGCTTATTAGATGCACGCATCATCTTATGTCAAATTCTTGCATTTAAAATGGTAATAATATTAAGACATCTGATGTGGCATTTAGATGTAGTTACACATTTGCTAAAAACATGACTGTTTAATACAGCTCAGAGGTGAATTAATTACATTTGCACTGTATTTAGTTTTTTTTATATTATTATATTAAAAAAACCTATGAAACTAAAACCACCAATATCAGGTCTTAACGAGGCGTGTCACTGAGTCATTCATTCAGACAATTCATTTAAATGTCCTATTCATTTAGTCATTGAATCATTCATGAAAATGATTTGTTCAAAACAAGTATGTGTTGCTCATGGATGCAAAACAATTCTGCTGTGATTTCATTAAGACATTTTCATTGACAAAATAAAGCAAAAACATACTGTGTCTAAAATGTAAGTCAAAATGTTTACTTACCGTTTTATAAAATCAATATGACATTCACAATCATGCTGATATCTGGGAAAAACAGCACTTCTGCTCATGTGATATTGCTTAACTTTATCTTTTTATAAGGGGGGGAAGATTAAACAACAATTATGATATTATTGTAGATGATACATATCGCACACCCCTAAGCTGGAGTCTTGATCTCGGGGACGTCTAAATAAACCAAAACATTTTTCCCAACATTCGAAACGTGATTAATCTCATTTCTGAAAATGTATGAGAATCGCACTGCTATTTAGACTAAATGGCTACACTGCTGCTGTAATAAACGCTGAATAAACATTAATTTTCACTATTTTCTTTTAAAAAAGGTACGGCCGAGCTCTTGAACTAACAGGTTTGGGTCTTGAGGTCCATCACTACCCTCACTGTAAAACCAAATTCACCCTAAAATAAGATAAAACACTCACTTAAGGACGTAGGCACCAGCAATGTGAAATATATAAAGGCAAATGTAGTACAGCTGACGTGGAATGTCCTCCTAAAAACAAAAATAAACACAATTTCAATTTAATAATGTATAACAACGACCATATTGTATACTATTATACTATAATTATACATTGTTAGAAACCATTTCTGTCAGCTTCAAATATATATGGCAAAAAACCAAGCCTTACCTTTCGTACTTTCTGAAAATACAGCTCCGGAAGAGCATGGAACCAGTAGGCAATCTGACAGATATAGAAAAACTTCACTTGGAAACTACAAGACAGAAAGAGGGTTGTAGATGAGCTTGTGGTCAATGCAACGGTGCACATAATGTGTCAGATACTCACAAATACTAACACAAACAGGTTACAGTTTGAGTAATCTGAGCTGGGAGTTTTCAGTGTTGTTGGAGTAGTTTAATTACATCCTGCAATAATCAAAAACGGACAATGATGTGTTCAATATATTAAATGTTTACTTAATTACAAAAGCACTAGAGACCCTCAAAAGCGCTTTATCAAAGTGAGATGTGCTACTTTTCTTAGGGATTGGACATAAGGGAAAAAAAAAAAAAAGGTTGTTAGAATGAATGCGTCACGTGACTTCACACTCACGCCATGTTGATATGAGGATAACCTTCCCAAAGAAAAGTCGGATTTGTCACAAACTCCTCCTGTTGATTAGAGAAACGGTCAGTTAGTCTGTGTGCAGATGAGAGCAGGGTAGCATCAGATCTCTTACACTGGTGAGGATGCTGCAGCCCCAGACGAAGGAGAGCGAGTAGAAGGTGGCCAGCTGGCCCGACTCATTGAACTTGCTGTGCTTTGTTTTGGACAAGTGCAGCCGACGGTTGATTTTCTGTGGAAACACAATCAGGTCACTGCCTTGAGAGATGAAGAGCAATTTGAAGAAACCGTTCAAATGAGTTTCATGTTGACTGATAAAACTGTCTGACACGGGCTTTAGCAGCAAGGCCTGATCTGACACATAACAAATGACCAAAAAAAAAACACAATGTTTTAGCACAAAATATATAAATGTATGTGCATGTACAACATTCTTTTGCATGCATTCATGTGTGACCCTGGAGCACAAAAGCAGTGTTAAGTCGCTGGGGTATATTTGTAGCAATAGCCAACAATACATTGTATGGGTCAAAATTATTGATTTTTCTTTTATGCCAAAAATCATTAGGATATTAAGTATAAATAAACCAAAACATTTTTCCCAACATTCGAAACGTGATTAATCTCATTTCTGAAAATGTATGAGAATCGCACTGCTATTTAGACTAAATGGCTACACTGCTGCTGTAATAAACGCTGAATAAACATTAATTTTCACTATTTTCTTTTAAAAAAGGTACGGCCGAGCTCTTGAACTAACAGGTTTGGGTCTTGAGGTCCATCACTACCCTCACTGTAAAACCAAATTCACCCTAAAATAAGATAAAACACTCACTTAAGGACGTAGGCACCAGCAATGTGAAATATATAAAGGCAAATGTAGTACAGCTGACGTGGAATGTCCTCCTAAAAACAAAAATAAACACAATTTCAATTTAATAATGTATAACAACGACCATATTGTATACTATTATACTATAATTATACATTGTTAGAAACCATTTCTGTCAGCTTCAAATATATATGGCAAAAAACCAAGCCTTACCTTTCGTACTTTCTGAAAATACAGCTCCGGAAGAGCATGGAACCAGTAGGCAATCTGACAGATATAGAAAAACTTCACTTGGAAACTACAAGACAGAAAGAGGGTTGTAGATGAGCTTGTGGTCAATGCAACGGTGCACATAATGTGTCAGATACTCACAAATACTAACACAAACAGGTTACAGTTTGAGTAATCTGAGCTGGGAGTTTTCAGTGTTGTTGGAGTAGTTTAATTACATCCTGCAATAATCAAAAACGGACAATGATGTGTTCAATATATTAAATGTTTACTTAATTACAAAAGCACTAGAGACCCTCAAAAGCGCTTTATCAAAGTGAGATGTGCTACTTTTCTTAGGGATTGGACATAAGGGAAAAAAAAAAAAAAGGTTGTTAGAATGAATGCGTCACGTGACTTCACACTCACGCCATGTTGATATGAGGATAACCTTCCCAAAGAAAAGTCGGATTTGTCACAAACTCCTCCTGTTGATTAGAGAAACGGTCAGTTAGTCTGTGTGCAGATGAGAGCAGGGTAGCATCAGATCTCTTACACTGGTGAGGATGCTGCAGCCCCAGACGAAGGAGAGCGAGTAGAAGGTGGCCAGCTGGCCCGACTCATTGAACTTGCTGTGCTTTGTTTTGGACAAGTGCAGCCGACGGTTGATTTTCTGTGGAAACACAATCAGGTCACTGCCTTGAGAGATGAAGAGCAATTTGAAGAAACCGTTCAAATGAGTTTCATGTTGACTGATAAAACTGTCTGACACGGGCTTTAGCAGCAAGGCCTGATCTGACACATAACAAATGACCAAAAAAAAAACACAATGTTTTAGCACAAAATATATAAATGTATGTGCATGTACAACATTCTTTTGCATGCATTCATGTGTGACCCTGGAGCACAAAAGCAGTGTTAAGTCGCTGGGGTATATTTGTAGCAATAGCCAACAATACATTGTATGGGTCAAAATTATTGATTTTTCTTTTATGCCAAAAATCATTAGGATATTAAGTAAAGATCAAGTTCCATGAAGATATTTTGTAAATTTCCTTCCGTAAATATATCAAAACTTAATTTTTGATTAGTAATATGCATTGCTAAGAACTTCATTTGAACAACTTTAAAGATGATTTTCTCAATATTTTGATTTTGTTGCACCCTCAGATTCCAGATTTTCTAATAGTTGTATCTCGGCCAAATATTGTTCTATCCTAACAAACCATACATCAATGGAAAGCTATTTATTCATCTTTCAGATCATGTATAAATCTTAATTTCACAAATCGGCCCTTATGACTGGTTTTGTGGTCCAGGGTCACATATATAAACTACCGTTCAAACGTTTGGTGTCAGTAAAATATTTATCATTATTATTATTATTTTTTTATAAGAAATGACTACTTTTATTCAGCAAGCATGCATTAAATTGTTAAAAAGTGACAGTTTAAAATGTTACAAAAGATTCTGTCATACTAAAGTAATTTCGAACTTTCTATTAATGACAAAAATCAGCTGTTTTCAACTCTGATAATAACTAGAACCGTTTCTTGAGCGACAAATCTGAATCGCTGAATGAGCTCTTTTAAACTGTGATAATATTTTACAACAACAGTGTTTTTAACTATATTTTTCATTCAATAAACGCAGCGTTAGTGAGCATTAATATACATTAAAAAAAAAATTACCCGACCTCGTATACATGTTTTTAATTTACAAATTATGCATTCAGTCTAACAATTTGAGTGAAAGCAGTCTAGTACAGCTAAAGGAGATATGTGTCCCCTTCTCTTAATGCCAGCATGGACTCGAGCTGGGTGGGACCTGAGGAGCCGTGAGATTTGAGAACGTCCCAAAGAGCATTTTGAGCTTCAACAGAAGGACTTCACATGCTCATCTGATTAGTGATCAAGAAAAGGTGCACAATCTTAAATACTCAGATAAGCTAAAACAGCAGAGAACACATGACTTACGTCGAGTATGTACTCTTGAATCAGGGCATGAAGGATTACGGCAATGAGTAGGTAAAAGAAGACTGTGGCCATGTCCTTGGGACCGTACTTGTAGTAGTTGACAGACTCAGGCTTGTCCTCTGCATCTGAACAAAACCAAGCGGCCAAAATGAAAGCCTGCTCATTTAAACTCAATACGCACTCATTAGGGGTCCGAGCAGAGCGGCTCGTTTAGAGACGCTTTCCGCTAATTGTCTCAACTGGAGAATTTCATCTGACCACACACAGTGACATTTGCACAACTGATGAAGCCACCTGGGTGAGCGGAGAAATGCCACCAGCGACAGAAAAACACATTCACTTGACTACAATAAGGCCAAAATCATTATATTCTGCCTCTTCAATTATCCGTTGTAAGCCAAGTTGCCTGAAATATATCTTCTGAAACACTCCGAAAGAAAATTTGTATTCAGATTTAGTTCAATTCTGGCTCTATGGAGTGCTGTGACCTACTAAGTTACAGATAAAGTATATACAATAACATGCACATTTATATTAGTCAATAAGCCAAATCTGATGATGACTGGCACCTTGCGGTTATATTTTAGTACAAGCGTGATTGAAAGATCTAGATCGTACCCGTATCCAGGCTTTGTGTGACATTATACTGGACTGTGATGAACATAATTGCAAATTTTGCTGTCACCTGCAAAAAAAAAAGAAAAGAAAAACATATTAATACATACAAGTACACACAAACATATTGCAAACGAGATGCACAAGCCACAAGTTTAACAGCCGCACATTAAATAGTTCTCGCCATTACTGATACTAACATTAGCAAGAATGATAAAACTAATCAAACGGACTTTAGCTGTTATAATGAAGCTCCAAGCCAGTTTAAATGGAGAGGTAGTTTAGCAGGTCATAGTAATGCAATGAGGAAGCAAAGTCACAAGCTGCTTTATACTTTCATTATTTCATTCAGCACGTTTAGTGCTGCTGTTTAACTGAAATAACACTTAAATCAAGAGATTGTATCAAGAGTATACCAAGATGAGAATGACTGGAATAGCTGTTGTATTGCACTACATGGACACCATGGTTTTAGGACAGAAGCGGGTGTCTATGTAGCATAATACAACAGACTGCACTGATGCATGATATTATAGGAGTGTAAGAGTCAAAAATAACCTAAAATGTGACAATCATGTTGTTATTTCAGTATAAAAGTAATAAATGACCTACAATGTGATGCACATATACGAGTATAATTTTCAATAACATCAAACATGATCATTTAATAATAAATAACTCTGAACTCAAACGTAATGACCTGGTTGATTTTAATAGTAAACATCTATCTATACTCAATAACAACAGCATGGCATCATACGAGTTTAACATCGAAACCCTCAAACATGGTGGCCATGTCCTATGTTATAGATTTAATACTAATAATACAGCGCGATGATCATGGTAGGAAATGATCACCTCAAACATGAGCCCCAGCAGGACGATCATGGCCACACAGGACACCATATCCGCGTGATTCTGGATCACAAACTCGTGGCTCAGCACGGGAGGACTCTTGCTCTTCTTTCGGAAGCCCATCGCTCTTCTCTCGCGGGGGACAGAGGCTCCTGATCGGGCAGAGACGCGCAGCTGAAGCAGATGGAAGCCCTGCTACACTCACAGCCGCGTACGACGCGTGCGACGCGTGCCGGAAGCCGTGAAGAGCGCAGGCGCTGCAGGAAACATGTCGCTGCGTCCGATGCTCCTGATCGGGCAGAGACGCGCAGCTGAAGCAGATGGAAGCCCTGCTACACTCACGTGCGACGCGTGCCGGAAGCCGTGAAGAGCGCAGGCGCTGCAGGAAACATGTCGCTGCGTCCGAAAGCCTTCGGAGGCAGCATTCCAACGCAGGCAGGCATCAACGCAGTAACATTAGCAAGAATGATAAAACTAATCAAACGGACTTTAGCTGTTATAATGAAGCTCCAAGCCAGTTTAAATGGAGAGGTAGTTTAGCAGGTCATAGTAATGCAATGAGGAAGCAAAGTCACAAGCTGCTTTATACTTTCATTATTTCATTCAGCACGTTTAGTGCTGCTGTTTAACTGAAATAACACTTAAATCAAGAGATTGTATCAAGAGTATACCAAGATGAGAATGACTGGAATAGCTGTTGTATTGCACTACATGGACACCATGGTTTTAGGACAGAAGCGGGTGTCTATGTAGCATAATACAACAGACTGCACTGATGCATGATATTATAGGAGTGTAAGAGTCAAAAATAACCTAAAATGTGACAATCATGTTGTTATTTCAGTATAAAAGTAATAAATGACCTACAATGTGATGCACATATACGAGTATAATTTTCAATAACATCAAACATGATCATTTAATAATAAATAACTCTGAACTCAAACGTAATGACCTGGTTGATTTTAATAGTAAACATCTATCTATACTCAATAACAACAGCATGGCATCATACGAGTTTAACATCGAAACCCTCAAACATGGTGGCCATGTCCTATGTTATAGATTTAATACTAATAATACAGCGCGATGATCATGGTAGGAAATGATCACCTCAAACATGAGCCCCAGCAGGACGATCATGGCCACACAGGACACCATATCCGCGTGATTCTGGATCACAAACTCGTGGCTCAGCACGGGAGGACTCTTGCTCTTCTTTCGGAAGCCCATCGCTCTTCTCTCGCGGGGGACAGAGGCTCCTGATCGGGCAGAGACGCGCAGCTGAAGCAGATGGAAGCCCTGCTACACTCACAGCCGCGTACGACGCGTGCGACGCGTGCCGGAAGCCGTGAAGAGCGCAGGCGCTGCAGGAAACATGTCGCTGCGTCCGATAGCCTTCGGAGGCAGCATTCCAACGCAGGCAGGCATCAACGCAGGAAGGCAGGAAGGCAGGCATCAACGCAGGAAGGCAGGAAGGCAGGAAGGCATCAACGCAGGAAGGCATCAAGGCAGGAAGGCAGGCAGGCATCAACGCAGGAAGGCATCAAGGCAGGCAGGCAGGCAGGCATCAACGCAGGAAGGCAGGCATCAACGCAGGAAGGCAGGCAGGCAGGCAGGCATCAACGCAGGAAGGCAGGAAAGCAGGCAGGAAGGCAGGAAGGCAGGCAGGCATCAACGCAGGAAGGCATCAACGCAGGAAGGCAGGAAGGAAGGCAGGAAGGCAGGCATCAAGGCAGGAAGGCAGGCAGGCATCAACGCAGGAAGGCATCAACGCAGGAAGGCAGGAAGGAAGGCAGGCATCAACGCAGGAAGGCAGGCAGGCAGGCATCAAGGCAGGAAGGCAGGCAGGCATCAACGCAGGCAGGCATCAACGCAGGAAGGCAGGAAGGCAGGCATCAAGGCAGGAAGGCAGGCAGGAAGGCAGGAAGGCAGGAAGGCAGGCATCAAGGCAGGAAGGCAGGAAGGCAGGCATCAAGGCAGGAAGGCAGGCATCAAGGCAGGAAGGCAGGCAGGCATCAACACAGGAAGGCATCAACGCAGGAAGGCAGGAAGGCATCAAGGCACGTCCGAATCCAAATTCTGCTTTACTTCCTGTCTCTGGAGGTACCTTCTTCTGATCGAATTCTGAAGGCAGCACACAACACATCTTATTTTCATTTATTGCAGATGGTACATAACAAGACAGCAAACGTCCAACAACATAAGGCACATTCACCATAAATAATACAAATAATCAACATATAAATAATTATTATTATACTCGCAACAATGAGGGAAGAGAAAAAAACAACTACAAGGAGCACGAATCAATAGAAGTAGGAAAACACATCAAATAAAAATGCACTAAAATAATACATATTTTGAGATAGAAAGGCTTTCTGTTTAGTTTTTTGTAAGTACTTAAAGCTCCGAAACATTTTCACAAACTCACAAAGAAATGTATTAAAGGAGGGCTTGCGTTTTTTTCAGTTTGCTTGTATGAATATGATATTTAACAATAAAACAAAGTTCACAACATCCCCCCAAAAAATTTTTTTTAATTTAATTTTTTTAAATTTTTACGTTTTTATTTTATTTCGGAAAAATGAATTGTTCTGTAGGATTTTGTTAAATTGACATTTCGGCAACAATAAATAAATACATAAATAAAACGCGATTACTGGGCTCCCCACATCACAGAGTTATTAAAAATGTATGACATCAGTAAAGTATCTATAAATATCTCAATTTAAAACATTATGCGTGTAGGGCAGGGGTCACCAGACTCGGTTCTGCAGAGTTTAGCTCCAACCCTAATTAAACACACCTGAAGCAGCTAATCAAGCTCTTACTAGGTATACTTGAAACTTGCAGGCAGGTGTGTTGAGGCAAGTTGGACAAAAACTCTTTGCAGGACCTCCAGGATCAAGTTTGGTGACCCCTGGTGTAGGGGAACACGTTTTGTAATTATCAACAGCAGCTGGGCTCCGTTCAATGGTGCAAAACGTGTTTTAAACGGAAACAGTGGTGCGTTGAACACCCTGTTCTGATGACGCAAGAGTTGCAACTATGGCAGCTGAGAAGGAAATTCTTTCTGTTCTTTTTGAAGAATTTTCGGAGCCTGATGAAATCGGTATAAATACGTGTTTAATACTGCAAAATACGCTCGATGTTACAGTCACTGCCCTTGCCGTCCAGAATAAAAGAGAACATCCCAGTCGAGTGAAGGGATTTGTGGAACTGTGGTTCCTAATTATTGTGATCCAACATTTGCCTCGCATTTCAGGATGAAAAGACAAACATTTCAGGTGAAGGCAGTGGTGATACGCAGGTATACGCTGTATACCCACTAGGAAAGGTGAACGATTTCCGTATACCCACTTAAAAAAACGCCAGGATACGTAACAACATTGTTTTGTAACAGAACTTCCACACGTCCATTCGTAAATTCACCCCGTCCATGTTGCGAAGCACCTACGTTTTGAAAATCACGCCGTGTTTCTGTTGATGACCAGTGCTATTGCGCAACTCTTGCGCAGCATTGAATGTGAATCACTAAAGGAGATATGAAACGAAAACAAACTCAAACTACACTCTTTCGGTGTTTTCGTAAGCCTGTCCCTGAAGCTGCTGCTGCTTCGGCTGCAGCAGATGACACGAATCGCTTGAATGTTTTCATTGGCAAGGCTTAAAAAACGTGCAAATGATTACGTTTCGTGAGGACGCAGCAGTGGCCCCATCGGAGCAGTGCATGATCAGTCAACTGTCCCGAACGTCTTTCATACTGGCCTCTGGACATCAGATAGTCACTACCGGACCTGGTCATGATCAAATATGTTAGCTTTACTTGGCGGCATAAAGGAATAGTATGCAATTATTAGAAATTTTAACTGTCTGAAAATGAAAGTAAATGAGGGGAGTTGAAAGAATTCTTATCCTGTGGCACCCTCTAGTGGACTGCAGTTGTCCTCTAGAGAGGGCATTTTTGCTCAGCCAATGCAAGTCTATGGGAAATCTTTGATTTTTGATAATTAGTTATAGAAAACTTTAAGTCTCATCAGTTAGAAAAGATATAGAAACAAACTACAGATCAGGTCCAATGTCTGTGACGAGTTTGGTGCTTGTAGCATTAAAGCCCTTGGAGGATATACAGTACAGTTGAAAAGTATTGGTCTCAGTAGAATAATAATAAGTTTAAATAGTTTAACACTATGTTGGCTTTCTCAAGCCAACACAACTAGCTAATAACTTAAGTAACGTTAGTGTGGTGGATCAGTGAATGCGAGAGAAGGGGAGAGATAACACACATACTGTGTATGTGTCTAGCAGTTAAACTCAATACAATGTTTATATCTGCTTGTTTCAGATGATGAGAGAGATGAGAACTCCTGACCAACCTTGTGGACTGAAAGTCAGGCTAGGGAATTTAAAAACAAGCTCTCTTAAATGTGCATTGAAAATTGCCAGCTGATAAAACCTATTCTCCAGGGACCATATTCTTAAGATAAATGTAACTGGCTGAGTTAAATGATTAATACTAAACAGTAAGAAATCAGTCCTGTCTCCCCAGCTGTAAATGCCATTAGCTGTTAAAGTCTTCTGTTGCTTATAATAAACTGACATGTTGATATCACATAAGCAGTCTTTCAGAATGCTCTCAGTTACATAGATGCATATTGTATGAATTAGTGAATGTGGTGGTGCTTATGGGGTGTTGCTGTGGGACGTTGAGTATGAGGCTGGGAGGGAATATCAGAGTATACCCACTACAAAAAACTTGACACCACTGGATAATCCACTTCTGTGTTATGATCTATATGACCTTATTATTTTTATTGTGAGTATTAGGCTTATCATTATTGCTGATCACTGTTGTTGTGCTATGATATTAATATTTACCATTATATAAACAAAGGAGTAGGCCTATAGAAAAGTTTATGAAAGTGTCACTCCACAATACAATAGCAAAATATATAAATATGTATATTATTTTTATGTTACATTAATCAGTGTCTAGCACACCTTCCTAAGGAAAGGATATGGACCAGAAGAAATTCGAGTTTGAGTAAAGAAGTTTAAGATCTATACTTGTGCTCTTATTATTTCAGTTATTTTGCCATCATGTGCAAACAATATACTTGCTCTTGTGAAGTTATTTGGATGTTAATTACATTGTGCGAGCTGTCTCTTTAATACCGCGTGGTTTACATACATGTTGCTGCTGATTGGGCTGACATGTTTGACACACCCACCAAACAAGAGAAAATGCATCTC